AAGATTTTACTTCAGTGTCTTCTAGCTTCTAGTGCTACTGTTGAGAAGTCTAATACCATTCTTGATCCCAATCCTTTGTAGGTGGACTTATTTTTTTCTTTTTGAGAGTAGATTTTAGATCTTTTTTCTTTAACCCTACTATTCTGAACTCTCATGATTATAAAGCTTAGTGTATATCTTTTTTCATTCATTATGCTGGGTACTTGGTGAAATCTTTCAAACCAAAAATGTATGCCCTCCAGTGCTGAAACCTTTTTTGGGTATTATTCGTTTGCAACTTTTGTTCTGTTTTTTCTGTCCTCTCTTACTACAACTCCTAATAGTCAGATGCCAGACCTATTTTCATCTCCCAATTTTCTTATTTTTTTCCTCTCCTATTAAACATTCCCTTGCTTTTTTGGTCTACTTTCTAGGAGATTTCATTAAATTATCTTTCTACTTTTCTACTCAATGTTTTATTTTGTCAACTGTCTTTTAAATTTGGAACAGTCTCTGAACTTGCCTTTTGAAAACGATATTCTGCTCTTATTTCAAGGATGCATTACCTTTTCTTCTCTCTGGGGATACTAATTATATCTTTCCAAAGTCTACTTCTCTTCATCTTGTCTCTGTTTCTATATTAACTCCTCCTCCTTTTTTTAATTAAACATTTTGAGATAATTGTAGATTCATATACAGTTTCAAGAAATAATACAGAGAGACCCCACGTTCCCTTTACCCAGTTTCCCACAATGGTAATTTCTTGCAAAACTAGTACAGTATCACAACTAGGAAACTCACATTGATACAATCCACCAATCTTATTCAAATTTCCCAGTTTTACATGTACTCATATGTGTGTATGTTATATGTGTTTCAATTTTTTATTACATGTGTTGGTTCATGTACCCATCACCACAGTCAAGATACAGAACACTTAGTCCCTTTTTGTTGTTTTCATTTCTGATTTCCATATTAGACATTTTCACAAAATCTATGGTGCTCCTCTACTCTATCTGATATCCCTGAATCTGAAGCCTCTCTAATTTAACATCTTGAGAAAAAACCTCTGGTTTTAGGAAGTGAGGGGGTAGTGTAGATATGGAAGACAGGGGAAAAGGCATTCACCTAGCTGCACAAGTGGTAGAGAAGATCCTGGGAAGTTTAACTGTTCAAAATATAGACTTTTTACCAAGCCTTTTCAGGCCCATTTCCCACTTCTGACTTCAGGCATACCCTAGTACCACCGTTTTTCTGGGATGTGAACGAACAAATCAGCTTGCTTTTTCTTGGTATTACTCTCTGGAAGAAAGCTGCAACTCTTTTCTGCTAAGTCACTTACTCTAATTCATTCTCTTTATAACTTTGAAAAAGATGCTGACATTTCTTGCCAACAAATGAATTTTCTCCCACTCTGTTTATCTGAAAAGTTTCAAATCAGAGCTCTCATTTTTCCCTCCACTAGAGCTGTCTTTTTTTTTTTTTCCCAAAATCAAAACGCAGATGTCAGTACGATATGAACTGGGGAAAATATTTCAATATTGAGTATCAATAGCTACTCTGGGTTATAAATCTTTTTGAGCTCCTTTTTGACGGCCTAACAGAAAAAGAGAGATAACACACATAGGACAACTATATTGCTTAATTCTGTGCCGTTTATGTTGACCATCCCTCATACTAAACATTTTTCTTACTTGTTCTCCAAGTTGTTGGAATCTGCACTGTAGAAAGATCATCTGAAGATTCGTCTGCTGCACTGCCAATGAAGTCAAAGTTAAGGCAGTTAAGGACCAATTTTAAGACCTGCATTACCAGATTTTGTTGATATTGATCTTGAAGATTTAAAGGTTTGGCCAACACCTGAAAAAAGTTCAAAATGAAATAAAACACTACGAAATACATCAATAAATTTTCACTTCATGAATGAAAATAATTCTTCAATGCCAAATGAAAATCAGTAAAAAAGAGTTTACAGAGTTATATTGTTCCATATATTATAAAAGGTGGCAAAATCACTATCCATAAATTTCTACAATAGACTATTTTCAAATTTAATTTTGTAAAATGGGAATAAAAACTTTTACACTTAATTGCATATTGTAGATCACCTTCTAAAGTTATAAGAGATAAAGTTCAGACATAATACAACTACATAAATGGATAAGATTCATTAGCTCGAAGGCTGTTTGCAACAAGCAGAAAATATAATTTTCTTCAAGAAAAACTGGGTTAACTTCGTGTATAAAAGAACCACATTTGGCTAATAAAGGTTGTCAGAACTATTTGAATGTGGGAGGACACTCACAAGTTTCTAGAAAACAATCCTGACCTCCAAAGTAACGACCACCATGACACAATCAAAAAAGATCATACTTTTTAAGAGATATATGATGAAATATTTATAGAGGAAATGATAATGAAGTTTGAAATTCTGCTTCAAGAATAATACAGGCCGGGCACTCACGCCTATAATCCTAGCACTCTGGGAGGCCGAGGCAGGCAGATCACTCAAGGTCAGAAGTTCGAGACCAGGAAGAGCAAGACCCCGTCTCTACTAAAAATAGAAAGAAATGATCTAGACAACTAAAAATATATAGAAAAAATTAGCCGGGCATGGTGGCGCATGCCTGTAGTCCCAGCTACTCGGGAGGCTGAGGCAAGAGGATCGCTTGAGCCCAGGAGTTTGAGGTTGCTGTGAGCTAGGATGACGCCACGGCACTCTAGCCCGGGCAACACGGTGAGACTCTGTCTCAAAAAAAAAAGAATAATACAAAAAGCATAAAGTGGGTAGGCAGGGATAGAGATAAAACAAGACTGGCTGTGAGTTGTTAACTGGTTGATAGGTTCAAGGGGGTCCATTATAGTATTCTACCTACTTTTGTTTACATTGAAATTTTTCATATTAAAAGAAAATTTTTAAGATTACAGAGGGTCTTTTGGTCTGATCTAATGTGGCAGTTATCATTTTACTAAACCACAGAAATAAGTGAAACTAGTGCTTATTAGAACATATTTTCAGAAATGGTATACTACACCAATTAACAAGCTTATGCTGCATAATGGAGTCCCTATTTACACAAGAAAACACAATATAATTATTAATCACGTTATCACTAATGTTCAATAGAGCACTAAGTAGCAAATGGGGAAATACTACTTCCCAAATAAATTACTAAAGTCAACTATCTTGGCTCAACTATGAATAAATTTTGATAGGTGATAAATCAGGAAAACTTACTGTCGTTTCATTTTTTTCATCTATTATCTCATCAAAATATTGGCAAAGAAACTAATACATAATTAGCTTCTGTAATAAAGAATCTACAGTAGAAAAACAAGAAAACTACTACCTAAAGACAAGTTACTAAATTCCCTTTAAATTTTACCTTATCATATACCCATTGAGTAAAAGTAAATTTTCTGGAACCTCCACAGATTTGTGAAAATTTACTGTATAGGTGGTCCCCAGGTTACAGACAAGATACATTTCTGAGAACATCTTTAGCTTGGATATGTATGTAACTCAGATCCCTAATAAACAGCACATTTACGGCAATAATAACAATACTATAATAGCTCATATGTGATGATAATAATAATACAATGTAATACTGTAATAATAATAATATCCTGTATTGCAATAATAAGTTACAGAAACTATTGTGTTCTTTCTTTTAATTCAAACAAATGGAACATAAAAAACTTATATAAAAAGTTGAGATAGGAGATAGGAGAAATTTCAAAACAGAATATTGAAGGTTAATGCTCACCTAATGTTGCATCAACACTAGGCTAATAGGAATGTTACACTTATTTTTATCTTACCAAACCAATAATAACCTTTCCATTTCAGTAATTAATCCACTACACTGCTTGGTAATAATTGATGCGTTCATTGGGGCACTGACTTTCACATGTTCCATTATTCTCATTGTATCCTTTATAATTGTTCCAACAGTCAAGCGACTAAAGCCTTATGCTTTCCCAATGAATAATGGTGTCTGGCCTTTCTCTGAACACATAATTATTCCTACTTTAGTTTCATTCATAATCACCTTTCTCTTCACTGTAGTCTCACCTGAACTTGCACTGGACTTCCGCTTTGAAGTCACAGTCACGAGGGTAAACACAGACTCACAAAAATCAAATAAAAAAGTTAAGATGAAAGTGATGCTGTGCGTTAGGGACCACATAAACAATGAGACTAGCTGCTAGCGTAAAGACGCTGTACCAGCAAACCACTTACGCCATATGGGTTTACATGTGTGGAAGAAACTAGCTCCCGAATTACTAATTTAATTATTAACTATCCTTATGAGGAGCCTTGGGAGCCTGTTGGTAAGTATGGATGCCATAAGTCAGGTCATTGTACATAACCCAGGTACTGCCTGTACTTAAATTAAGTCTGTCCACAATAATTCTTCAAAAGGCAGAATGAGGCAGAAAATCCACTTGCAATTCTTTTAAAACTCTTAAAACTTCTGAATACTCTAACTAGGCAATTGAATTATTAAATAACTTACCTCTTTTAAAAGAGAGCATGCTAGCACTAAAATATCTTTGAGAGAAGTGTCACGAAATGAGGTAGCTATTTTCCTGTGTTTTGCTGAAGGTCTAGAATAATCAACCTAAAAGATCAAGATAAAATTAGTTTAACCAGACCTACCAAAAAGCAAAGCAAAAGTTTACTAAGTAATAAAAAGAACAGAAATAATAATTAAAGAATCAAAGTCCAGAGCTAAAGAGCTTTTAAAAATCTACCAGGATAAGTGACTAGCCTAAGGTTATGCAAAGAGTAAATGGCAGAGCCCGGGTTAGAATCCAAGTTTCTTGGTTGTTTCACTTTAGTGCTCTTCTTACAAACCATATTTATCCTAATATAGTTAATCACATTTTCAGAGGCAGTATAAACAACACAGATTATAAAATAATAAATAGATACCAAGACCATCAATTCCTGAACTATGCACCATACTTCACAATATGCAAGAAACAACTTCCCCGTTCCTCAGATTCTACATATAAAATGAGAAATCTCCAAGATAATCTTTGAATTCTTTGTGTGAATCAGCAAACTGAATCAGTTACAGAAAAATTCTTCTATAAGAAAGTGATAGTTCTATATATACCACATGTCATCGGTTCATATATCCTTGATATTCTAAAAGAAACCGA